ATTTAGAAATTAGGAACTTATTAAAAAATTGGAAAAACAAGGGGTACATTAACCCAAGCATATACAAAAAATTATATGTGTCTGATAGCGAACTTCGAGACCTTACGGACTGCCCAAAATTCATAAAGAAGGTCATCCACTAAGATTAATTGTTAGTTGCATTAACAGCGCCTTTTATCCACTGGCGACCTTATTAAAAGAAATTATCAATAATAATAATAGTAATAATTTTTGTTATGTAAAAAATAGTTATGATTTGGTTGACAATCTTAATGGAAAGGTTATCGAAAGAAATTTTAATATCATATCATTTGACGTGGTCTCCATGTACACTAACATTCCTACGGATTTAGTATTAAAAAGCATTGAATGTAGATGGAACTGGATTGAAAATAAGACTTCGATTCCTTTGCATGAATTTGTTAAAGCAGTTTTGATCATAATTAACTTCACGTTTTTCAGATTTGAAAAAAATATTTAAGCAGATTTTTGACATGACAATGGGCTCTCCTCTATCGCTTATACTAGCGAATATAGTCTTACAAGACGTAGAACAAGAAAATAATGATTCAAGAAGGAAGCATCATCTTTGTATAAAAAACTACCAATTCGGGGAGATATTTAAATTATTTTTCGAATCATCCATTAGCACATAAAAAGGGAGTAATCATTGGGCAGCTTGATAGAATTTTACTGTTGGAAAAATTCAAAAAACTTGCATATATTCATGGGTTTAATATAGCTTATAAACCGATGAATAAATTAAATACAATTATTAAAACAGGAAAAGATCCCTTGCTTAAGGATGATCATTGTGGGGTAGTTTATAAAATTAATTGTTTGAATTGCGAATCGTCATATGTTGGCCAAACTAAGAGAAAATTAAAAACTCGTATTAAAGAACACAAGACTGATATTAAGAAATCTACTTCTGAGATATCAGTTGTTTCACGTCATCGTGTGAATGAAATGCATGAGTTTGATTGGGATAATATTGAAATTTTAGATACAGAACAATCATTGATGAAACGAAGAATTTCAGAAATGATACACATTAAAAACCAAATAAGTGGGATCAATAAACAAAGTGATACTAAAGGTTTGCCTGATGTTTATCTTCCTCTTCTAAAGAAAGATCTCTCTCGCACTTAATAAATAATTCTAGAACTTTCTAAACTATTTGACTCATGGATATAAATAGCGGAAAAATATGTGATACGACCAATAACAACACATAGTGTCACGACAAATTTCTATTTGTGCAATGATTATACTTGTAATTCATCGATTTATTTTGCTATAAAACAAGTAATGTTTCTTTTATACTCCGTTTTAAAAGATATTAATAATAAAATAAATTATTGTAAATTAGAATCTGGAAATTCTCGTTCTACACTTTTCACTATATGACTATATGACTTCTGAGGTTCTAACATTATGATATGAAGCAGCGTCGCATTGATGCAGACACGATTTTTACAATTATAACACACGATGGTTGAATTTTATTCCAATTTGATGTAACTCTGCGTCTTAAGAATATTATTAATTTTACTGAAGATGGCCAGATTGTGGCCGAGACGTTTAATGTTTTTATTGTAATTCGTAATGCAAGAATAATTAAATATCACTAACTATGTCTTGTGCTGTGGTTCTTTATGCTATTTCTTTTCATATTTTTGAAATTATAACCACATTCCTGTTTTACATTAAAGAAAAAAGTGCTTAGTTTAATTGTTTAATATTAGGTGTAGTAAAAAGAAATCCATTATTTTTACAATAGATGGCTTTAGTAATCTGTATCTCGTCTACGCGTGATACAGATTACTAAAGCCATCTATTGGAAAAATAATGGATTTCTTTTTAATACACCTAATATGATTGATTCTTGCTTTAATTGTTTAACATGATTGATTCTTCCCTGGATCTAAGTATATCAATCATATTAAAGAATTATTGATCGCTCACATCAATTTTCTTTGTTAAATGCAACTAATATTTCAAAACTTGAAAAGTGTAACAAGGCCCCAAAAAGGCCTCATAAAATCGTTTGAAATATACGACAAAGTTTTAAAAGTAATATGTTTTCAGAAATATATATATATATATACATACACATATATACACATACTAATATTTTATATATATGAATATATTAGTACCTCTTAAATATCTTGAAAAGTAATCATTTTTGAAAAAAATGTTTTATACAAAAGTTTGTAGGGTTGAAAATGATCTATTGACTGACCTTATCAATTTGACCTTGGATGACGCCACCAAGGTCAAGTCAAGGTCAAATCAATTTTTTAAAACGAAACATCCTATTTTTTATTTTAGAATCTAATAGCTGAGATCTGGAGCTTTCCAAAACTATATAATAAAGCTTCTTTTTAATCAGTACTTTTCAAGATATGAGAGTTGAAAGTTACAGAACCGTCGGCATTAGCATTATCCAAGATGTAGAGATTACCCGACTGGATTTATGAGTCATGTATGAGCCGCGAATGTTTATATCTCTATCTCATCCTCCCTCCTACTCTTCCCCTCACTTTCCCTCCTACTCCTTTCCATCCCTTCTCCGTCCTTCCCACCCTTTCAATAAAGCTGGAGACTACATAAGCTAGAGATCTCTCCTCTCAAGTTCACTCTTTCTATGACTTGCGATTGAGAAGATATACTTTATCACGGCATTGGATCAAGTGCAGTGATATTTTTAATGGTTAGGATGCAATTTTTCTGAAATTTGAAAAAATAGCATTTCCTGAATAATGCAATTTTAATGCAATTTTCTAGGGATTCACTCTAATTGCATTATGGGAGCATGCAGTGATAGTCTTTATCGTTACGATGTGAATATTATTGTATTTTGAAAAAATTGAATTTTCTGAAAAATTTTAATGCAATTTTCTAGGGATTCATTCTTGCATTATTGGATCAATGCAGTTTATCGCCACATAGTTGTTTTTTTATTTATATAAAGTATTTATTTAAATTATTTTATAATACTTACTGAACAGGAGCGTATCCCTTTTAGTGATGCGGGGATGGAATGATCGTAGGAGATTTTACGCACATGTGACAAAACTTTTCAATCAAACTTTTAGGAAGGAGGACAATTATCTAAATGGACTGTTATGCGTACTGTATAACATTTTGAAGAAATGGGTTTTGTAAAAGACCATAATTGATTAGGTAGTCCAGCAATAGCGACAAATTCTGATAAAAATTTGAATGTTCTACAGTCTTTTATCGTAGATCCGCGTAGTTCAATTTGCAAAGTACAACAACACGACATCGATCCTATGTCAGTTCATAAAATTCTAAAAAAGAAGAAATTTCATTCATGTAAGTTCCATTTGGATCTTTCATTTGGATTTGAAGGGAAAAATTTATAATATTAAACTTCGAAATTCTAATGATTTATGTCAACGAATAATAAATGAATTTAGAATCACGCCTCACGAATTCTGTAGAAATGTAGTCTTAATTTTTTATAATGGTCTAAGCACATTGTTAGACTGCAATGGGACACCAATTTGAATATTTGCTATAATATGTAATATTCTTTTAATTCTAGCTCGCTATACTGGGATATGACGTATTTAATGCGATTTTTTACATTGCAATTCAGACTTTAACTTTTTATGCTGCAATTTAAAAATAAAATATTTTTTGTTTCATCTTTGTTTATTTGTTCTTGTCTTACTCAAGAGATATTAATTTTGCATGTAATAAGTTAGAAATATGTTTTCTATTCAGAGATATAACTTGACGAAGTTCCAGATCTCGATGGGGTCTAGCCGAGAAAGTAACTGAAAACTGGTAGGTAAAGCGAGTTGGGTTATAGGAATTAAAGGAATGACAAATGCTCAAATGAATGACAGTTGATTTAGATATACCATTGTCTTTATTTCTAAAAGATTTATTGAAAAGTCTTGTTTCTTGCGTAAGACCTCCTATGTCCTATGACTATCCTCGCATCATTAAAAGGATAGATATAAGCACCTTAGGTAATGGTAATGCCACGGCGGTTCAGTAACTTTCAACTCTCATAATTTGAAAAGTACTGATTAAAAAGAGATTTTATTATAGTGTTTTGAAAAGCTTTCAAGCCTCAATTATTAGATTCTAAAATCAAAAATAGGGTTTTGTTTAAAAAAATTGATTTCACCTTGACTTGATCTTGTTGATGCCATCCAAGGTCAAATTGATAAAGTCAGACAATAGATCATTTTCAATCCTATAACTTTTGTATAAAACATTTTTCTCAAAAATGATTACTTTTCAAGATATTTAAGGGATCCAAGATTTTTTCTCTGTATATGTACATGATATATATAATATATATATATATATATATATATATATTTTATATATATATGTTAAAGAGAGAAATATCTTTACAACTTTCAAAAAATGCATAAAATGTTAGTACAACATATGAAGAATATACTGACAAAATTTTAAATCGAAATTCTAAGAATTGAAGGAGTTATTATCTGTACGTAATGCGCCAGAGCACGCCACAGGTATAGTCATGCGCTTGTCGAAGCAAAGGGATCCGTCTATTGTGATCCCCTCAAGTGACAAAAAGTCAAGCCATCGGTAGAAATTTTAAACATCCTACCTCACTGCATCCTGATGTTCAAAAACATATCCGCCAATATACGAAGATCTATCCAGGAAGATTTACTTCAAAGATGCTTGGGTGGCCACACGCAGATTGCAAATAAAAGTTTTAACTCGATTGGTGCCTCGCTCCAAAGCACCTACATTGTGGGTTAAAAATTATTGAATTATTGCAGCGTACTTGACTGTTGAAGTATTCAACAAAGGTCATTCGTTCTTTTTAAGTTCATGAGTATGCTGGATATCATAAGGCAAAGTAAATCATATGCCAACGACAATGATAACCGACGAATAGCTTGGCAGGAATATCGCAAACAAAAGAAGTTCGTAGAGTCCATCGAGAGCAATTTTTAATGGAAAATGAGCTTTAGGAGGAAAATGAAGGACTTGTATGGTCTTGGAATCATAGGCTAACTAGTAAGTCAATGAAATCATATAGTTTTCATCTTTCAAAACTTTGACCGCATTTTTCTCACAACGTCATTTTCAAAATTGGTGTACAAGCTAAAAAACTACTTAAACGATCCTCTTCAAATTGAACATACAATTAAACTATATAATACCTTCTATGTGAACCTAAATGTTTATGAAAATTATTTTAAAAAAGTATTTTTTTATTGCAAAATTCGATGAAAATTTTGTGAAAAATTCAAATTTTTTTTTCAGACATGCGTCATTTTTTCAATTTTCATTTTTTTCACTTTTTTTAGATTCACATAGAGCATATACATCTTATTATATTAAAAAAATTTTTTTTGTCTGTTTTAGATCAATTCCTAGGACGTGTCCTACCGATTGGCAACTTACACCGCCACCTCTGTTATTTGCGGCGCTGCAGCTTCAGTATTTTTTGTAATAAAAAAAATACATTATCTACTTATTAGGTGTTGGAATTAATTCGTAGCGTTTTTAATGAAAGAATGTTATTTATTTCACATGAGCATTAAAAAATACATTAATGAAAGTACTTCCCATCACTTGTAAAACGCTACGAATTAATTCCAACACCTAATAAAAGATAGACAAAGTATAAAAACTTTGAAACAATTAACTAAATACTTTCTTTTTAAAAAATTCTGGAAAATTGCCATTTTTTTAGCCTCCTAAAGATATTTCCCTCCTTAATAAGTATGCTAAAAAATTAAAGATTCCTCATACATATTCAAGTTGAAAATTTTATATAATCATATTCAAAATAGCTTAATTTCAAAGGGTATCAAAGTTTGAAAAAACATTTTTCTTTTTTTCAGAATTCGAAAACTTTTTGGACTATTTTGATGAAACTTTGTAGGAGAGATAATAGGCTAGACGGGGCTAATAGACTCATTTTTTCAGTTTTGAATTTTTACAGTAAAAATTAAGAAATTTATCGAAAAAATGAATTAATTTTACACCAGTTACTAAATATTTGACTACCTAATAATATTTTAATAATAAGAGGAAACTGATAACTAATATGAAAAAAATTTTTCTAATGCATTTTTCCATCTGATTCAACTAGCTCCAGCACCGGGGTAATACAATTAAGATTATTAAAATAAAGATTAATGTATTTTAAGCTATATCTTTGACTACATATTAATAAAACTTTTATAAAAATATATTTTAAACACAAATATTCGCTTCGCAGAGCAAAACAATCTTCAACTCCTTTTTCCAAGATTTGTTCATTTCGTGCAAAAACACATCGAATAAGCCTAGTTTTCGAGATTGGACATGAGGGAACTAAACTTATAACATTCACCAGAGGAAAATCTCTTTAAAAGAATAAAATTTTGAGTAAGTACTATAAGAATCGTCACTACATGAGTCATACAATTCCATGCTGTTATTAGGTATTAGGTTCCATGTTGTTGTTCTACTATCCCCATTTGTTTATTTTTTAAAAACATTAACAATATACGATAATAAAGAAAATATAAACAAAAAAATCTGTTAGCCTTTATTAAGTACGAACTACACTTATTATCTAAGTAGAAATCAAATATCTTAGACAATTATATACGATTGTAAAATAAAAACTTTAAGAATAAAAATATTTACTTAGGTGTACGATTTTTTAAAATTGTGGCATAATTTCTATCGTAGATATGTTCGTAACAAGATGTTACAGCAGAGCACTTTAGCGACACTAGATGTGTGTTGATGGTCATGTATCTAGTGACAAAGTACCGCGGATACTTTTTAGATAACCCAATATATTGTATATATTTATATATA